AAGCGGCCAAGGTTGAGAAGCACTGATCGAGTGTGATCTTCTCTATATTGATGGGAGAGAGAGAAACAGCAAATCTTGGGAAACAGGAAAAACTGGTTCAAATTTCACCTTGGACGTGATCTTGCTAGTAGCCTCAGTGCCCCCCGCTGGGAATTGGAGGCCAGTTCCCGATCCACTTTGCAGTGCTGCTGTAAGAATTAAATCAAGACAATGACTACGTTCGCGCAGCATGTTTAACCAGGTTAGTTGCAAGCCGAGCGGCTGTATTTGCACAACGTGCCGTAGTTTGCTCGTTGGAAACCCGGGTGGCAGCGATGGTGGTCGGTTTGGCATCGCGTGTCGCACAAACCCAGCCTGTTTGGTTAGCTTATGATTCAACATATTACACAAACAGAAAAAGTGGATTAAGTCAGGCTCAGGCTGGGCACGCTGTACGGTGCACTGTGTCCCCAAAGAGCTCCAAATACAGTGAGCAAAGATAATATAACCTTGATCGTTACGTGCTACTTACCTCAATAGGAGCCCAGATTACAGAGCAGGGGCAGAGTTAATTCCAGAAACGGTAGGCCGAGGGACCCCTCCGCTTTTTATGGAAATTTTACCAAGGAGGCTTTCCACGAAAACATCTCCGTATTTCATAGATCAGCAGAAGCCAGCCTCTCAACAGGAACTGGCCAGGAGAAGAAGACTATCCATTTATAATGCTGGGCTGCAGCCAACAAGTCAGAAAATTACCTAGTAGCTCAGCTCGCTTTCTTAATGATCCTAACTTGAATAATAAAGGACTCGGCTGGTGTTAAAGGGAGATGCCATCGTTCAGAAGAGCTGACCTCTTGGATGAGTACCTGATGTGGCAAGGCCCCAGCTTTGGAGATGCTGGAGAAGACCTACCCCAGAAGGCAAGGACTTGCCACAGGAAAGATCCCAGATAAAACCCAATCTGGTATTTTTGGTTCTAGTAAAACGCCTCCCTCTGGGTTGCAGTGGGGTCCAGTGCCTAGTAAATAGCGTTTGCCCCACAGACACGCAAGGGGCACAGCTCTGCAAGAGGGTTTTGCGGTAGGTGAAGTTAACCCGTCTAGCCCAAGTCTCGTTCCGTAGGACGTAGGAGGTCATTGCATGTCCACAGCAGAAGCGCTTCTCCCAACCGCGTGCTCTCTGCAGGACTGGCTTTGTTGTTGTTGTCGCTTTTGTTGTTGTGGTTGTCGTCTCCCTGATGACGTGCTAATTCCAGCTTTCCTCCATCTACTGCAGGGGGGACGTGCTAGTCGCTTCCCTCTCCTGCCAGGGCATCGGGCGCTTTGGGGTTGCAAGATGGCGTAACCCCGGTGCCTGACCTTGTATTCTGTCGAAAGGGGCGAAAGATACTGACCGGCTCCCTCTCCCTGCCGTGGGAGCAGAGCAGTCGGACTTGGTGCTAAACGGTAGATGAGCTGAGCCTGCTTTTCAAACAACCGGGCGAGGCGGCCAGGGCGTCTCCCCCGGTCGGTCTGCTCTCTGGCGGCCTTTGGCTTGGTCGTTCCTGGAGGGACGACAGCTGGGCAGAAGCATTGCTGCCTTTCAGCTGGATCCCCCCTCCACCCCCCAGGGGCTCTGGGACTCGGCTTAGGCCCTGGCCCCGCTACCGCCGGGCCTGGCCTGGAATCCGTCCTCTAATCGGGAGCGCCCCTCCGGCTCATTATGCCCCGCGCGCAGTCCAGTGAGCCTGGGAGGCTCGGGCGGTGCAAGAGCCATAAATTCCAGGAAATTCCCTGCAAGGCGCATCTCGGGGGGATTTGGGGTGGGGGGAAGAGGCAGGATGAAGCCGGCGCTTCCTGCCTGGGGTGAGCAGATTCGTCTGCAGCCCACAGGACAGGAAGAGGAAGAGTGAGCGCTCCAGCTTGTTTGGAAGATGTTTGCCTGCCTGCCTGCCTCCTGCCTGCCTGCCTGCCTGCCATAAATACAGGGGGAGGGAGGGAGGAAGAGCGAGCTTCCCAAAGCAAAGGCGCTCTCTGGGGAGGGCCGGCCGGGCACCGGGCTCTCATCTCACCCTTGCTGAGCTCCAGGACGGCGGGCAGGTCGGAATGGCCGGGGAGGGACGGGGAATCCGTCGCCGTGGGTCTTGCTGTGCCCGAGGAGAAGAGGCCAGGGCCCAGCAAAGGGCGGCGGTGGGCTGGGGAGGGGCCCACGCGTGCCCCGGGGCTCCGCTGGGAAAGGGGTTGCGTCGGTTCGGCGGGAGCGAGGCGGGGACGCCAAGGGAGTGTAGCAGGAGGAAAGGTTCCCGTAGCAGAGGGAGGGCTCTCGGCAAGGGCTGGAAAACCCCGCTCGGTTTGCCAGTGCCACCCTCGGGCTCCCGAAGCCCTCCCCCCGCCGGGTTGGCCGAGCTCCTCGTCCAGGAGGTTGAGAAAGGGGCTCCCTCTCGAGGATTCTCTGCTTTCGGCTAGCGAGACATCGGTGCCCCCGGCTGCTGAAAGGTACGCGGCAGCCCTGGGTGCCTGCCAGCCGGGCCCCGTCAAAAGCCTTCCCTGGACGGTGTGACGGTGGGCCAGGAGGGAGCAGGGTCCGCCGGTGCTTTCTGGAGAGGACGGGAAGAGGGGAGCCCTTTCGGGATGGGGGCAGTGGCCCAGAGAGCGCCCCGGCCCTGGGGCCCCTTCAGGGAGGGGTGCCTCTGCTTTTCTGTTCATTCAGCCTCTTCTGCTGCCGCCTTGATTTGGAAATCTCGTGGCTGACCTTTCCGGCTCTGGACGCTGTCCAAGGCCCTTGTCTCAAAGCAGGGGGGAGGGTGGCAAGCGAATGTCTTCTCGCCTGCCGGAGTGGGAGGCAGGAATGCGATCAATGCCATAGGAAGTGCTGCGGAGATGCCTGGCGAGGTTCTCCTCGACCTTTGAGAGGGCGTGTTGGTTCCCCTTCCAGCAATCAAAAATCCACAGGCGGGTAGCGCTGGGCGGAGAGGCCGCCAGCTCCTGCCCCGGCTGGTGGTCACCTGCTAGTAGCGGCCCTCGGCCAGGACCGAAGCGAACGGACAGGAGGCCCAGCGGGGAACGTGGAAGGGGCACCTCTGGTTCCCTGGTGCCGTCGGTCCTCTCGGCCCCCAACTCCTGCTTTGGGCAAGGAGGACTGCTCTGGGCTGCTCCTGACCAGCCCTACCCTGAGGTCAGCGGTCTGAGGAAGCTTTCCACCATCTGGAGGGGCGGCTCCGTTCCAGGGCACCCTCTGGGAAGGTGGCACGTAAGGACGGCCTGTGCAGCATCAGCCAAACAGGCTCCTGGCTCCGTGCACCACATCCCAGCAGGGGCAATGCCAGCTGCCTTGAAGTGGGTCCTTCTTCCTGTGGCAAGAATTTTGGGGGGGCTGGGGGAGGCAGATGGGTGCCCTGAAGCACCCATGTGTCTCCCGAGTGCCGAAGGAGGCCTCCGATGCTCCCCTTTGCGCATGTCGTTCAGGAGCCTCCCGTGGCGCTTTGGGAGCAAGATCCAGCTAGGAAAAGGGAAGGCTTGTGGGGAAGCAATTAAGCGCGATGGACCCTCAGAGGGACCGATTTATTGCTGCACGAGCCGTTGTGGACTAGCGACAGCTTGATCGGGTTTCTGAAGAGGAAGAACGGGAGCTGAGATCGAATTCCCGCCCTTGGCCTGGGGGCTGCCTCCGGCGAGCTGCCCTCTCCCAGGAATACCGTCCTTGCAACAGGGAAACAGCATTAAATCTTAGTGTAGCTGTCAGTAAGAATAATTCAGCAGATGGGATTCCCTTTGCATTTTAACGGGAGCCTTTGGGTGCCTGTTTGAAATTTGGCTTTAGCCACTCTCCTCCCGGTGCGCCACGGTCAGCGTTGCGACGGCGTTTCCGAGCCAGATGCTCCGGGTGTTGAGCAGAGGGCTGCTTGGCCGGCCGACGTTTTGAAACGGCTCTGGCTGAACAGGCGGCCTCGGTTGGCGGGGCGCCTCGTTCCTTTGGCGGGGTTCCCCCCCCCCCCCCAACCCGGGGGGGGTTTGGGGGGGGGGGGGG